TTATTATTTTGTTCTAAATTTTTCTTCCACTGTATTCAAGACCTCTTTTATTTTATTCATGGCCTTTTTAGAGTAATTGGTGGTGGAAGCATCTGTTTCTGGCCTTCAGGGTTGCAAAGGCAGGGGTTCACATGGTTCATTCATTCTTTGTACCAGTTTTCTCCATCCATTGTTGATTCTCTTCACTTTCCTTTATCACCAGTGAGGGAGAGACTAGTAGTTGAAACTTGAACATACAAATTTTTGAGACCCCTAATTTGCTATTTGGCAAAGTAGGATGTAGACCATTGTTGTTGGGATCTTGGTGACACCAGTTGACATTGGTGTCTTCTAAGACTTTGGTTTTGATCCTCTAGACCAAGCAGCTCATTCCTTCAAGCTGTAGGTAAAGAGTTTTCATGATAATGCTCCCTATAATCTATATTTATGGATGTATTTGCAGTACATATATGGAAATATTCTCTGTGAGAGCCCCATGTTTGTGGGTATTGCCCTCATTCATGTTCCTTCGCTTGTTTCACTTGCCATTATCTCTGTATTCACCTAAAGATTGTCATTAATGTTATTGCAGGATTGTGTTTGTAATAGTATTTACTTTTGTTGTTTTTAATTCTTGTATTCCTCCCTATGTTTTTCTTTGTACTGATCATTGTGTGCTCTCTTCCCCTTGTTAAATTTTTTTCTTTCATCCAAGTTAATATCCTCTTAGTTAATGATTTCCCCTAAACTCCTGGTAACTTTCAAAGAATATGTATAGTTTGTTTTGGTTTTGGAATTGTTTTAGTGGTTGTTTTTGAGTAAAACTTTTTTTTTACTAGTATCTCTTTTATAAGATAACACTCAGATGGGATTAGAGCCCACTTTCTCTCATTAACTGAAAACATTGTCAAAGATCCTTGATTCAAACAAGGTCACATTCATAGGTATCTTGGCTTAGGAATTCAGTGTATCTTTTGAGGGAAGATAGTTTAACAGAGTTGTGTGATTTGGAAAGTGCAAGAAGCCATAGTCTGCTGTGAGACTAAGTAAGTGATTTAAGGACTATGAGTAGGTTAGGGGAATTACAAGGATTCCTGGGCTCTTAGGTCCCTAGTGCCTGTCAGGCTGTCCATTGAGTTAGGCTCAGTGTCTTGACACTAGCCATCATTAGATTTGTTTTGTTCCGTGACCTTTTCTGATATCCTAATTTGTTCTTAACCTTTTTGTTTCTGGCCACTAACAATGTTAGTGGAATGTATTTATAGACAAACTGTTATAATAATTGCATTATTTTACAGCTTCAGAGAACCTCCTGTATTGCTTGGTGTTCTACATCCAAATACAAAATTGCGACAGGCCAAAAGGCTGTTTGAAAATCATCTTATTGGCCCAGAGTCCATAGCACATATTGGAGGTAAGTACATTCAAGGCCTTTTGAGTCCAGTGCTGTGGGCACTGGGGACAGCTTGCTGAGAGTAGATTTTGCAGAAGTCATGCGTAACAACAGCTGCTGCTTGGGAGAGGGGTCTGGACAGCCTCCTTAGCTACACTGCTGGTCCCCTGGACATCTTCCTCAACCCTACGAGGGATTGGGGTAGGGTAAGGGAATAACTAGACATTCTTTTTTTTTTAACACAAATAATAATTTTTATTTGTCATTATTAAAAGTCTGAATTTTAAACAGATTCTTGAACTGGTGGCTTATCGCCATCAGCTCATTCCTCTTTGGCACCTCTCTCATCTCCAGTAGTTTTTCCAGGGCTACCACCTTCACCATGAAGCTCCATGTGTTTACCAAATTCAAACTTGGGCTTCTTCAGCATTTTTACTTTTCTAACAAATATATCATGGAGAGGATAAATAGACTGGCAAGCCATTTCTATGTCTTTCCCAATGCTTTCTGGAATCAATTTATTGACCACCTCTTTCAAGTCATTTGTCTGCACCTTTTGGGTCATGATTTCCATCATTTTCTTCCGGATTTGGTGCTGAGCATAAGATGTTTTCCGAATCTGGTTGTTGCCTTTTTTTGTAAAACCAACAGAAAATAGACAAAGCAAATAACCAATGGTAGTCTTGACATCAACATGAGCTTCAATCATGGTCTGTCATTTTTTGACCATGGAGTGCATTTTGTCACTAGTAAGATCCATGCCATGGAGGTTGGTGAGGAAGTTTTTGCCTTGAACATCCCCAGTAATTAGCTTGAATTTTCTAAATGCAGCCTCATCGTTTTGCAAATTAGCAAGGCTCACTTAAAAAACACAACCATTGAGCCCATCAGATGCAATTTTGGTTCCTTGAGTCCTTGTGACTAATGTCTTCCCAATATTTCTTATATTAAACATACCTGGCACCTTTATATCATAACAATCTTTCTTAGAAAATGGATCAACCACTTTCTTCTTGGCTCCTTTTTCCACCTTTCGTAAGGCACTTGTTCTTGCCGACCGCCAAGGTGGTTCCGAGAGAGTGAAAAGGGATAACTAGACATTCTTCACACAATAGAGGCCTTCAACAGCTTTCCAGGTATGCTTGCATTCCAAACAGACTACTCCACAGCAATATAACCAGCTAACTCTTTCTGAGAACTTTCCTCTCAGAGTTGTGATGGCACTCTAGTAGTAGGTGATTTTTAATTTATCTGAATGGAGAACTTCATTCTGTTGAAAGTATTGGTCCATTAAAATTACATGAAAAGGGCACGATGCAAATATTGTTTGATTATTTATCAAAGCTTGCCAGTGGGTGTTACTTGACAGTCGTTGTTTAGCTTTCTGTAGATTTCATTTTGAAATAAAAATTAATGGCTTGCAATCACAGTAAGAGTTTAAAAGGCAATAATAATACAAACTGAGGAGAGAGAGAAAAAAAAGCATATTTAATGTTAGGTTAGACTTATAGTGGTGTCAGAAAAGAGCCCCATTGTAAATCAAAGACTACTTGTATTTCCTTTTAAAGGCTGTTCAGTAGCCACCACTCTCTGTGTTTTACTACCTTCTCTCCCTAGCCCCTACTGTTTAAGTGCTCTCTGTATCTCTCTATATATTTATCTATATGTATGCACATACACATAATTTTTCCTGTGTTTCAGGACAAAGAAATACTATATGATGTTGCTGTCTAATAAGTGCTGATTCATAGTGACCCTAGGAACTACAGACCTAAACCTTTCCCTGTACTACACCATCATGATTTCTGACATGCTCAAACCCATTGTTTCAGTCACAGTGCCAGTCCATTTTGTTGAAGGTCTTCCTTTTTATCTCCACTCTCCACCTTTCTCAGCATAGTATCTTCTAGCCCTTCCTTGTCAACATGCCCAGAGTCTCTGAAACAAACTTCACCATCCTTGACTCTGATGATTGCACTTTTTCCAAGACAGACTTGTTTATTCTTCTGGCAGTCCATGGAATATTCACTACTCTTTGCCAACAGCACACTTTAAAGGCATCAATTCTTCTTCTGTCATCCTTACCATAACCATAACCTCTGGAATACAGCTAAGGCAGTCCTTAGGGGGCACATTTTTGCATTTCTTTAGGTTTTTTGTTGTGTCTTGAAGAACTGTTCTGTAGATTTTTTTGTATAGGTCTTTTGTATCTCTAGTTAGGTTCACTCCCAAGTCTCAATTTGTCGATGGCTATAGTAAATGGTATTGCTTTCTTGGTTTCCTTCTCTGAGTTCTCTTTGTTACTGTAGAGGAATCCCACTGACTTTTGAATATTGATCTTACATCCTGTCACTCTACTAAATTGGCCTACTAACTCTGACAGTTTTTTGGTTGAGTCTTTGGGGTTTTCTGTGTACACTATCATATCATCTGTATATAGCTATAGTTTAATCAACTCTTTGCCCATCTGGATGCCTTTTATTTTCTTCTCTTGTTGTATTGGCCTAGCAAGCATTTTTAATACAATATTGAAGAGAAGTGGTAACAGTGGGCATCCTTGTCTTGTCCCTGTTCACAAGGAAAATGCTTTTAGTCTTTCTCCATTGAGAATTATATTGGCTCTTGGTTTTGCATATATACTTTTTCACTATGTTGGGGAAATTTCCTTCAATTCCAATTTTGCTGAGTGTCTTTATCAGGTAGGGGTTTTGAATTTTATCAAATGCCTTTTCTGCATCAATTGCTAAGATCATATTGTTCTTGTTGTGTTTTATTTGTTACTATGGTGAATTACATTGATTTTCTTATGGTGAACCATTCTTGCATACCTGTTATGATGAATTATTTTTTTTTATGTGCTTTTGGATTCCATTGGCTAGGATTTTGTTAAGGATTTTTGGATTTATATTCATGACAGATACCAGTCTGTAATTTTCTTTCTTGGTAAAATCTTTGCCTGGTTTTGCTGTTAGGGTTATGCTTGCCTCATAGAATGACTTAGGGAGTATTCCTAATTTTTCAATTTTTGACATAACTTAAGTAGAATTGGTGATAGATCTTCTCTGAATGTTGGGTAGAATTCACCTGTGAAACCATCTGAACCAGGACTTTTCTTATGGGTGGATCTTTTTATGATCTTTTCAGTTCCTTCTTTTATAATGGGTCTGTTCAGGTGTTCTATATCTGTTCTTGTCAGTCTGGATAGGGCATGAATTTCAAGGAATTTGTCCATTTCCTCTAGGTTTTTGTTTTTTTAAAAAAATATATCAGAGTAAAGCTTTTCATAGTATTCTGATATTACCTTTTTAATTTCATCTTGTTTTGTTGTGATGTCACCTCTATCATTTCTTAATTGAGTTATCTGTGTCTTCTCTTTTTTCTTTTGTTAAGTTTTCCAGTGGTTTTTCTATCTTATTGACTCTTTTGAAAAACCAGCTCCTGATCTTATGTTGGTTGCAGTTGTTTTTCTGTTTTCTATCTCATTGATTTCAGCTCTTGTCTTTATAATTTCTTTTCTTCCAAATGCTGTAGGGTTAGATTGTTGTTTTCTATTTGATGAATGTGTTGAGTTAGGTCATTGGGGTTTTTTTTCTTCTCTCTTCCTTTTTTATGTGTATGCCTATTGCTATGAACCTGTCTCCCAGAGGTTTTGGTATGTTGTAGTTTCAATTTCCTTTGCTTCAAAGAACTATTAATTTCATTCTTTATTTCTTTTTTAAGCCAATCATGTTATAGCAGAGAGTTACTTAGCTTCCACTTGGGTGGTTTTGTAAGCTATATCCGCCTGTGGTTAATTGCAAGTTTTATGGCATTGTGATCTGAGAGATACTTTGTGTTATTTTAATGTTTTGGTTTGTTTTTTTTTTAATTTGTTCAGGCTTGTTTTGTGTCCTAATAGGTGATAAATTCTGGAGAAGTACCATGTGCACTAGAGAAGGAAGTGGATTGAGTTTTACTTGGGTGCAGTGCCTTGAATACATCCACGAGGTCAAGTTGATTAATTGTATAGTTTAGATCTTTTGCATTCTTGTTGCGTTTCTTTTGGTCTGACCTACATTTTGGTAATAGTGGTGTGTTGAAATCTCTTACCATTATTGTGGTGCTGTATGTTTCTTTTTTCAATTCTGTTAAACAGTTGTTTTATGTATTTTGCAGGTCTATCATTTATAAATGTTGACCAAAGTTATGTCTTCTTCATCTGTTGTGCCTTTAATCATCATATAGTGCCCTTCCTTATCTTTTATGATGGTTTTTTATTCTAAAATCAATTTTATCAGAGATTAATACTGTCAGTCCTGCTTTTTGAGGTTGCCATTTTCTTGGTATATCTTTTTCCAGCAGCTCAATTTAAGTCTGTCTTTCTCTTCTTTTTTTAGATGTGTATCTTGTAGGCAACATTTTGATGGGCTTTGTTTTTTATCCATTCTGCCACTCTTTTCTCATAATTGGTTGTTTTACTCCAGTCACATTAAGTTTGATTGTTGTCAGGCCAGGTTTTCCTTTTGATAATTTGCCATGTTTTTCTGTTGTTTCTGGTTACTATGGTTCATGTGCTTTCATTTAGCATCTCTGTGTGAAGGTCTTCAATTAAAATTTCTTGTAGCTTTGGACTTGTTTTCTCAAATTCCTGACATTGTTTTATTTCTGCAGAGGTCCTTCATATTTGATGGAGAGCTATGCTGGGTGCAGGATCCTTGGCTGCCAATTGTTTTCTTTCAATTTTGTATATATGCCATCCCATTGTCTTCTAGCTCACAGTGATTTCTGTTGAGAAATCAGAATTTATTCTAATTGCTTCCCCTTTGTAGGAGATTCTTTGTTTTTCTCATGCTGCCTTTAGAATTCTATCCTTATCTTTTAATTTGAAGAATTTGACTATCATGTAACTGATATTTTTCTTTTTGAATCTCTTCTATTTGGTGTTCACTGTGCTTCTTGAATGTGGATTTCCCCGTTAGCGAAAATACCTGGGAAGTTTTCTTCTGGTACTTCTTCCACAATTTTCTCAGTGATTACCCTGT